TAACGTAGTGTGTGTGTGTGTGTGTGTGTGTGTGTGTGTGTGTGTGTGTGTGTGTGTGTGTGTAAAATTAATATATAATGTTGTTTGCAGCGTTCGGAACTTTACTGAGACATTAAGCATGAAACAGATGTTAAGATTCCCTCTAACAAAAGGCTATGAAAAGGCACTGATTTAGTTCAAATTCCTGAGACTGGGAATACACAAGGGAAGGAAAAGTTTACCAGAAACAATAGGAGGTGCCTTTGTTTTTCCTTGGAATAGAATCACAGCAAAGTACAAAGGAGACTAGAATGTCAAACAGATGTTAACTGGTTGTCAGGGCAGCTTCACGTTGAGCAAGGCCAACACAAGACTGTTACTGACTGCATATGATAAGCTTATTTAAGCAAGACTATGAGAACCAAGACCCTTTAAACTACTGTTGTAAGATACTGCTGCAACCTCACTATCTATTATATACTAGTGAAAAAGAAACTCTGAATACTAAGTATTAAACTTTCCCCTCCCTGCATAGTAGATCGTGCATCATAAACAAAAAGTAAACCCCTTGGGCTAAGTAGGAACCCAACAAGAGCCTCCAGTATAAATAGCCTCTGTTGCCCAAACTTTCCTCCCTCTTTCACCCATTAACAAGTCCTTTGCTTGACATTACAGAATATTAATTTGGGCCCCTGAATTCCACAAGTGGAAGGAAGCACATACCCCTTGGGATCAAGCCCTGCAAAGACTTGAAAGGAAGAGGGAAAATGAAGTTATGCCAGTTTAGACCAGTTGGGGATCCAGCCCTTAGACTGTTATGCTGAGCAAAACATAAGAAGTGATCACTTCTTATCTCTAGTTCCAAGATATTAGTAATGTAAAAATGTGATTTAGCTGACAGCATTTCTTAAGAATAAGATGAACAGGGTTCAATTTGGTTTCTTTACCATTAAACAAAAAGCTGCAATACTTCATAAAATTTGTACAAATATGGTGTACAGCCATTTTAAAAGGGGACATAATTACAAATTGATACAATTACACTTATAAAGATATAGATACAACACTGGCTTCTTGAAGTTTAATATTTTTTAGCTAGAAAAAACAAAGATGAGTAGTTGTTTTCAGGTTTTTAATTTTAAATAAGTTTCAATGGTACTACAAAATCCACGTAGTCTGCTTTGACTTTGATTACTCCACCAATTTTCTTTAGTGGGGTGATTTACTGTATCTTTAAGACATGACTATAGTCGGAAAGCACTTCAAAAGACCTGATTGAAGTTTATGTTTTCCAAAAGAAAGGATTCTGAGCCAGTCGTCTCTGGAAGTTCTCATACCTAGAAGAGACAAAAGCTTGTCACAATTAAAATGGCTTCCCAATGATGCAACTCAAGAATTTTAGCTTTCAATTTTCCAAACCATTACTGAAAAACTAGCCCAGATCACAGGTCTGGTCTATACTACTCGCCTGAATCGGCGGGTAGAAATCGACCTCTCGGGGATCGATTTATCGCGTCCCGTCGGGACGCGACAATCGATCCCCGAATCGGCGCTCTAACTCCACCAGCGGAGGTGGTAGTAAGCGCCGCAGACAAAAAGCGGCAGAAGTCGATTTTGCCGCCGTCCTCACAACGGGGTAAGTCGGCTGCAATACGTCGAATTCAGCTACGCTATTCACGTAGCTGAATTTGCGTATCTTAAATCGACTCCCCGCTGTAGTGTAGATGTACCCACAGAGTCATCTGTACAGAGGCAATATTTAAAATATTTCCCCCACACACCACATGGAAAACTGTTTAAATATATCTTTCCCCTGGATGGTCTTCTCAAACCCTGTTTTCCCAGTCATGCTTAACTTAACAAAACCAAAACATTTCTTGGATTACATACTAAACTACATTATAAGAATATTATTCAGGTTGCGAAGTCAAGCATTCAAAAGTTGTAAAATGGCCTGTAAAGGTGGCCAATATACCCTTAATTTTGTCCCCTTTGATTCCATCTTGTGAAATAAATGAGGCTCTTGATTCTTGTGGAAAATATCATATCTGATTATGTAATTGAAGATTAATGCATATGCGTCATGTTCCCTTATAATTCATAGGAAGAGTACCAGATAAGTAGTTTGCCATTTTTTCTATGTATGCTGAAATGACAGTAGTTTCAACACCAACATTTATGTTTTAAGAATACAAGTACACTTCACAAAAATCCAGTGCTGAATTTAAAGACATAATGGGCTTTTAGATGCTAACATTCCCTACAGTGTGCTAACGCTTAGTGAAATTAACTATTCACAGACCATCCTACTTTCTCTATTGCTCCCATCTTGGACAAAGAGCATAAGTGATGAAAACAATGAATTTTTATAATCAAAGTTAATGATCTAAGAGGTTCCAAAAACAGGGCAGAATAGGAGACTTGTGTGACTTTTTAATAAATATACTACAGGCTTTGATTTTGCAGAAGCCAAAAAACAAGCTTCAAAATCCTCACTTCAACACAAGCTGTTCACACTTCACAGATCATATTGATGAAATAGTCAATGGCCACAGGAAAGAAACAGTCATCTCTGAAAAGACCTCATACAACTTCAAATGAGAGCAGAGTGTGAAGCTCTTCAAACTCTTGCTCCAGCTGGGTCAAACTACTGGTACCCTATATGGCTGTGATCAGATTAATAGATCAATTAAACTTTTGTCAGCTAAGGAGATTTCTTTATCCTGTCTTGCTCTGGCCCACTTCAGTTTTTCTATTTCTTAATTTTTTTTTTTTTTTAAATGTATTGGTATAGCCTGTGCAGACCTCCAGAGTGCCTGTCCTGGCCTAACCTTTCATGTTCCCCTGATGGCTTGGTTGAACGCAATGGGTGCATCCCTGCCTCTATGGCTTTTCAACAGATTCAATGAGGCATTTATGTAGTGAACAATGTCCCGTCAGGAACCTAACTTATTTAACCAAAGGCCAAAAGGACACTTAAGCAAGTTTTCACGCCAGAATCCCAGCAGGGGCATAGAGTGTAGCTCCCCAGTGAAATGGACCTCCTACCGTTCTCTGGAAAGGTCCTTTTGCTGGGATTGGGCATCCCTAGGGGTTTTGCCACTCAAGGGCCAGCTTCCCTGTGACTTATCAAAATTGTATCAGGACTTGACCAGTCACTATCCTGACTATTTGTTTAACTCCTTTCCCCTACCCTTTGTTTCTCTTTCAGGGATCTTGCCTTCCTTTACAATTGTACAGTGCCTAGCACATTCTCGGTACTATTAGAATCAAAGGATAAGAACGGACCAGCTATGTTCAGGGTAAATCTTAGGATTTAAAATTCCCAGCCCAAAGGAGAACCACTAACTACGGTAGAACCTCAGAGATACAAAAACCTTGAGAATGGAGGTTGTTCATAAACTCTGAAATGTTCGTAATTCTGAACAAAACGTTATGGTTGTTTTTTCAAAAGTTTACAACTGAACATTGACTTAATACAGCTTTGAAACTTTACTATGCAGAGGAAAAATGCTGTTTTTAACCATCTTAATTTAAATGAAAGACAGTTTCCGTACCTTGTCAAATCATTTTTTTTTAACTTTCCTTTTTTTTAGTACTGTACTGCATTTGCTTTTATTTTTTGGGGGGGTGGGGTGGGGGAGAGTCTCTGCTGCTGCCTGATTGCACACTTCCAGTTCCAAATTAGGTGTCTGGTTGACCAGTCAGTTCATAACTCTGGTGTTCATAACTGAGGTTCTACTGTATATTAAAAGTCTGTCCCCCAACACTTCCAGACCTACAGTGGCTAGGAACTGTTACCCAAACCAGTTTGGGGCATAATTTTTAACTAATTAGGCTAAACTAATTTAACATACTTTGCCCTGCCCACGCTAGATGATCAAACCATGTTCAGGCAGTCTGAATCATTTTTAAGTAGTGTTTTAAAACCTAGTCTAGGTCAACATCCTTTGAATACATGTACCCTGGGCCAAGAGGTGATGACTTTGTGGGGAAAGGACTAGGAGTGTTCACACAATGTTGTTAACTAAGTACTCCTGAGAACTTAAGAGACATTGATTGTAGCCCAAGAGACGGCAGTGTGTTCTGCTTTCCCATGGTCAGTACCTTTACAAGGAGCAAAGGCAGCTTCCGGAATCAGCCACAAACTGCAAGTAGGGGTAAAACTGCCTGGTAGCAAACAAGAGTGAGATGGATAATTAAAATGCTGTACCTAAGTTTAGTATTTAAAGAGGCTACATAGAACAGAATACAAGAAACTACTATAGTGTAGCAAAGTTAACAGGAGAACTATTAGTTACGTATTTTCAAAGTAAGATTGCAGTATGGCATGAAAGTTAATTCAGTGCTATGAAACCCATAATTTTGGTGCCTAGAAATTAGCTTATTGCTGGAGATATTTTCCTTTACCATTTCAGAACCACGTTTGCAGGAATGAAAGCTTCAGAGGGATTCGGTGTCATCTGGGCCTGTGTGACAGCAAACGATGAGGCAAAGTTATAGAAGCTATCCAGCATCTTCTGAGTGAACTGAAATACCAAAAAACCACATTGTAAATCAAATCCATATTTAGAACTTTGATTGTGCTTTTGATATCTAAAGTGCTGTTAATCCTTACGCCTCATGTTGGGTGGATTAAATCTTTCTTTTACAGATGGGGGAAAGGAAGGCAGAGAGGTTAAGTAAAAAGGAAGTCTGTGTTAAGAGACGATTAGATCTAGAGTTACTAGTTTACAGTCCTGTCCTCAGACACCGCCTCTCTCAAGAGATTATCTCTTAGAAACTTAAAAGTATTTTGATTTTTATTCAATTATTGTTTCTTTCCAAAAGATTAGTTTCCTGGAGTAAGTTTCTGAAGGAAAGCCTTAAACGACCTCAAGATAAACATAATTAAAATTTGTAAAGTCTTATGGGACTAATGGATGATGTAGTGATAAGACTTGGGCCTTGTCCTACAAACTAGACTAGCAAGTTAGTGGCAGCCTACCAATAGCACCTGCTGTTGATGATTTTGCCTACAAGTACCTCATTTTTTGTATTTGCTCACCTCGTAATAATTCCATGTAAGAAGAGGTTACTTACCTGTAACTAGAGGTTCTTCAAGATGTGTGGTCCTTATATGTATTTCACCGTGGGTTATGTATGTGCACCATGAGCCTGCAGTTGGAGAATTTTAAAGTAGCATCTGTTGGTCTGTGCATGCACCCTGGCTCACCTTATGCTTCTGACCAAGGCAAAAAAGGGCAGGGTGGACCAACAGCCACATCACTTCCTTCTCCACCACAAATCAGATAAGATCCAAAGTAGAGGGAAAAGAGGAGGGGTTATGGAAAACATATAGGGACCACAAAACTCAAAGAATCTCCAGTTACATGTAAGTAACCTCCTCTTCTTTGAGTGATGGTCCCTATGGTATTCCACTGTGGGTGACTGACAAGCAGTACCTAAGTAAGAGGAGATGCAAGGATGAGGATGGTAAGGTCATATGGAGAACTGCCATCCCAAATGAGGCATCAGCAGCCGAATCTTGTACCAGAACATTAACATCTTGTAAAAACATGTGGATGGAGCTCCATGTGGCCGCTTTACAGATGTCTAAGAGGGGTACGTCCTGAAGAGACTCTACAGTCGTGGCTTGAGCTCTCATGGAGGAGGGAGGTTTGAGAGCTGATAGAGTAGAATGCAAACAGATATCCATTTGGAAATTCTCTGGATGAAGATGGCATAACCTCGGACTCTCTCCACGACAGCGACAAACAGCCTCAGGGACTTTCTGAATGGTTTGGTTCTCTGCAGATAAAAGGCCAAGGCCTGTCAAACATCAAAGGAGTGGAGCCTATGCTCTTTATATATGTGTGTAGTTTCAGGAATGGATTGGTGAAGGTGAAATTCCAAAAACACATTGGGATAAATTTGGGGTGTAGGTATAAAGAAGCTTTATCTTTGTGAAATACAGTGTATGGAAGCTCTGCCATCATTGTGCCAAGTTCAACAACCCTCCTTGCCAATGGCTACAAGAAAGGCGACCTTCATGGAGAAGAGGGACATGGAACAAGTCACTAAGGATTCAAAGGGGCAGAGGAGCTTGTGGCAGAACTGAAAGAGTGAGATTCAAGTCCCACAGGGTATTATCTTTTGAGAGGGTGGGCAAGTTCTTATCAGGCCTTTCCAAAATCGAGTGGTTAGCAGGTGTGCGAAAATAAGAGAAACCCTCCGTAGGGGGATGGAATGCACCGATAGCTGCCAAGTGGACTCTCAGGGAACTGAGGAATAGGTTCGATGTCTTCAAAGATAGGATACAGTCTAGGATGAGTGGGATACCCATAGCTTCTGGTAGAACGCTTCTCTGCTGATGAGAAGCATTTCCATTTAGATTGGTAACGTTTCCTAGGGGAGTCCTTTCTGCTATTAGAAAGGATGTCTTACACGGCCGAGGAGCACACCCATTCTAGGGCTGATGAACATCTAATACCACGCCCTGAGGTGAAGTTGTAGTGGATTGGGATGCCTGATCCTGCCATTGCACTGGGTCAGGAGCTCAGGGAAGATTGGGAAGGTAATCAGAGGATGAGATGACTGGCATGGGAGTCTTTGGGGAACCAAAACTACCTGGGCCAGAAAGGCACTATCAGGATGACTGTCGCTCTGTCAGATCTTGCATAGCACTTGTGGCAGAAGCAATAGCGGAGGGAAGACATAGTTGAATTGGTATGACCAGTGAAAAAGGAGAGGGTCGCCCTGGGAGCAGTAAGTTAGGACTCCCCTGGAGCAACATGTGGCACACTTGTTGTTGGCCCGGAAAGTGAACAGATCCCTGGTTGGGGTTCCCCCATCATGTGAAAATGTCATGAAGCCCCATGTCATGAAGCTCTCACTTGTGGTCAATCATGAAGTGTCTGCAAGCATATTCTGCATACCCGGAAGGTAGGCGGATCTGATTGCTGATGCACCAGTTCCAAAGATTGACTGCTTCTGCACACAGAGAGGCCGATCTCACTCCCCCCTTGTTTGTTGATGTAGAAAACTATCGGAGTGTTTTCTGACATTATGAGGACATACCTGGTGAGAGTTGATGAAAGGAAGAAGGCACTCACATGCCTTCAATAGCACCTGTAATTTCAGGACATTGATGTGCATTCTGGACTCTTGAGAGGTTCATGTTCCCTGTGCCATGTGGTTGCCCACATGGGCTCCCCAACTTAGTAGGGACACATCTGTAATAATGGCCTTGTCCAGGAAGGAGGGGAGAAAGGGGACCCCTAAGCATACCAAGGAGGGACAACGGTACCTTAGTGGGAACTTTCAGTGTGAGGTTCATAGAATGGGGGCTTGGGGAGTAAACTGACTGTAGCCATGCCTGAAAGCAACAAAGGTTTTGTCTTGCAAATGGAGTGACACAGGTGTGGGGGATGCCAAAGCCACCACTTCATCCAGCGATGGTGATGGCAATCTGGCTGGTTCAGGTGGAACTGCCAGAACCAGGGTGTAATTAATACCCTGCCTCTTCTATTGGAACTGGGGATAAATTTGAGGTTCTCTCATAGGGGAGGCAGGTGATGACACTAGTGGATCAGAAAGATTCCAAAGGGGGATACAATATGGCCAGTAGGTGGGGTGGACAGGTGGTGGCATCAGGTACCAGTGAAACTGATTCAGGGGAGGTGGTGGTTGGTCCTAGGGTCATGTGGGCCTCGTGGGGAATAGCAGGACAGGAAAAAGTGGTTCCTCTGATGGTTCCAAGTTTCCTGAGAAAGAAACAGTTGACTCGGGTTCTGATGGTGGTACTGTCGGTGCTGATTGAGAGGTGTACATTTTGTATAAGTGGGAGTGATAAATTCTGTCCCAGCAGCAGGTCTCTCGGAGGTGATACAAGCTCCCTAAAAATGGAGAATCCCAATGGAAGGAGGAATTCTGGGTCCAGGGCAGAAAAAACATCCTATGGTGCAGATCTTCCCAGCGTAAGAGGGACTCCTACTGTCCAGGCCATTGGTGGCAGCGATGATGATGGTATCCGGACATAAGACATCCTCATGAGCCGAGCCGGTGGGTTTGCTTCTAGGTATGTCCGGTATCTTTGGAATGGATTTAGATGAAGATTTAGTCCCATGCTTCCTAATCTCCCAACTAGGGCCTGCTGTGGGGTCAGATCCTCCACCACTGAAGTCACACTTTGCAGCAGGAGGTGCAATCCTTGCGGATTCAGGCCCAGGTACCCAGGCGGGGGAGCAGGGGGAATGATGTCCCCAGCCTGGGTCCGATTGAGGCCTCATGGTCAATTCCATGAGGTACTTACAGAGGCAAAGTGCCCGTCCTTCTCAGGTACGGCTGGTGAAGGACTGACAAATACTGTACTGAGCCGCAATGTGAGCCTCTCCGAGACAGTAGAGGCAGCATTGATGGTCATCGCTGACTGAGAAGGATCCTGGGCTGAAGGTGCAGAGTTTGAAGCCCAGAGTACCGGGCATAAGTCTGGTACTCAAATGGGATACGGGGAAGGATGGGGCTGAGGACGCTAAAGATTCTGACCCTGACCATGCCGTGGTGCATAGGAACTAAGGAGATGGTCAGTCTGCCTTGCCCTTTATCGCCTCGGTCAGAAGCATGAGGCAAGCCAGGGTGCATGCACAGGCCAACAGACACTACTTTCAAGTTCTCCAACTCCGGGTACACAGGGTGTATGCATAATCCACAGTGGAATACAATAGGGACTATCTCTTGAAGAAGAACAATCCAAGTTCAATACAAGCTAATTCAACTTAATTTTAGTTTGATATAAATTAAGATTAAATATAAAATGGAACAACCACCTCTTAAAAACTATGTTTCCAATCATATCACTTTTTTTTTTTTTATTTTTACAGGCGAGTTGCAACTGTTCCTTTTGCAAACTGGTCCTTAACTAGTACAGGCAGTCCTCGACTTTGTGACGTTCAATTTACGACGAACGGCACTTACAAACGTTTCTGAATTGATACCCTGATTCGACTTACAACAATTGGTTTCAACTTTACGATGCTCAGTCCTGCAATGGAGTGTATTGCGTTTCCAAGTTATGACGTTTCGACTTACGACACAATTTTCAGGAGCCAATTGTGTTGTAAATCCAAGGACTGCTGTAATTCATCCTAGTCATAATCCCTAGTGTTAGAGCAACCATATTCCGGAGAAACAGTATAAGCCTTTGCCAGTATATCTGTGCCAGCAGAGCCACCTAGTGGAGATATAGTGGGAGATGACAGGAGTTCTGACAGCATAGTTAAAACATCTCCCTGAACAACATTAACTAAGCCAACAGAAGTACTCTGCTGTCAATATAGTTGGATCTGCATGGGGGAGGGGAGGTATCAGCATTGCTGTGTTGGCTAGTGGGTGTGATTTCCCCCCCATACTTCTAGCCAACACAGCTATGCTGGCAAAACTTTGTAGTGCAGACTAAGTCTGAAGCACATTTTTACATTTTTTATAACTAGATATTAATTGAACTTGGAATATACTTGTAAAAAGTAATCTGCAAATAACTGGCTCTCCCTTAACAAAAAAACAACGAGGAGTCCTTGTGGCACCTTGGAGACTAACAAATTTATTTGGGCATACAGCTTATGCCCAAATAAATTTGTTAGTCTCTAAGGTGCCACAAGGACTTCTCCTTGTTTTTGCTGATACAGACTAACGCGGCTACCACTCTGAAACCTCTCCCTTAACTGTAACTACCAACAAACGGCATTAGCTGCTTTGTCAATTATCCCACAAGTACATTATCTTAGTGGTGCAACAAACAGTAATGGAAGATTTGGTGCTTCAGAGAAATATTGTTCAGAAACCATCCCGTTTTTCTCTTCTCCCTCCCCATGCATGTTTAGTATATTTACATAAAAACTGGACTTGTTTAGGTGTGCCAGTTACGCCTGTTGAGTACTCCTCACTTGAAAGTCACTCTGAAGTCCATCACACCTCCACAGTTAGTTGTGATGGCAGACTGGATTATACCTTTATTTGGAGGAAGCAGCAGCAGACATGCCAAACCCACCAAAAAACCCGCAGAAATTGGGCTTGTTTTTGGCTTAATTGGCTTGTGAGTTGCTTGTTGGCTAGTTTTTGGCTTGTAAGTTTTTGGTTTTTTTTTAAATCGGCTCCTGGGAAGCAGGGGCGAGGGGGGAGAAAAGAGAGTCAGTGGTACATAGCGGACCCATCACAGTCCCAGACAGCACGTCGGGGGTCATCTAGTCAGAGTGTTGGGGTTCTTAGGGATTGGCTTGTTTTGGCCTTGTTTTGAAATGGGATTAGTTTGATTTTTGGCTGATTGTGAAAGTCGGGGTGCTTATTTACCGCGTGAAAGTTGGCAACTGTGAACAGCAGTGAACAGTGTGATTAACACTGCTAATAAATTAGGCTTCTCAAAGTGCTCAATTACAGCTCTTTAGGAGTCATTGATCCTATCACACCACAACCGTTAATTATCTGCAGCGAAGTTGATCATAAATGCCTGAAAAGTTTCTGCAGAACTGAAGCAACAATTTATTGTCTGGATCACGAAGCCAAAGCTGGGTCTGTCCCAAACAGCTGCCACTGGCATAATTGCCTGTGGTTCTACACACTCATCCCCTCTCTCTGTTCAATTGCCCAGGTGAACATCAAAAACCCATTTACCTCCCCCTCTGTCTGAGATGAGCCTGGAGAGATGGGTTGCTTAAATCTAGGCCGTTGCTTAAATCTAGGCCCAAAATATGGCAGTCCTCAGTGTACAGAGCAGTTTCCCTAGAGAAGAGGGAGGGGCTTTCAAAGGTACCTTTTCACTGAATGGTCAGGAGACTGGGAGGAGAGAATGGGCCAGAGGTACTGCTCAGAGGTGCTGGAGCAGGAAGAAAGGGTGGTCGTGGCAAAGGGACTATATATCCAGTTGAGCATAGAGTAGATCAGGGTCCCTGCACCAGCAGCAAAGCTGTGCATCAACATATCACAAGAAGCAGGAGGATCCAGCTAGCTAAGGCAGCAGCACAAGCCTGCTGATGGAGATATCACAATATCTGCCTCAAGCCCAGTCCAACTGCTTTGGCCATTCCCTTTGTTCCCCAAGTAACAGTCCTGAGCTTCAATGTGCAGCAGAGTCGTGTATCAAGAGTAAATTTCTTCAGAGTATGTTGGTGACAGATTTGGAGCTTCTCAGTAATAATTATAAATAATGCATGTTGGTTATTGGAATATTTATTATATGACTACATTGGTTTAAACTGACAAGAGTGTCTGGAAAAACAAGCAGGAAAGAAAATGGCTCAAGATAAAGCCATTCTTCAGCAAACACGTGAGCTGTTAAAGGACAATGCAGGAATCACTGGCTCATTATCCTGCTGTACCTACAGGATTGGTTTTAAACAGGAGAGTCAAACCTTGGGAAAACAGAAGAAAAAAAAAACCACAAAGACACCTATAGCAGGGTTAAAAGGGACCCTTTCTCAGAAGAGAAGCAGTAGGTGTTCGGGGAACCAGACTGAGGCTTGATTTACACTGAAACATACTATCGGCATAGCTACTTTAGTCAGGAGTGTGGGGGAAAAAATACCCCCCTCAACATAGTTATGCCAGTAAAACTCCCATGCAAAAGTGGTGATGTCAATGGAAGAGTGACTCTGTCAACACAGCGTATTGTTTGGGGAGGTGGTGTGCCTATAATGATGCAAAAACTCCTTCTGTTGATGTAGGCTGCACCAGGGGGCTATGTCAGCATAGTCTTTCTAGTGGAGAAACAGCCTGGGACCTAGTGGGGGTGCCTGAAGATGTTAGATCTACCGAAGTTACATCAGGGGACAGCAAGGGGAGGTCTACATTTAAAATGCTGCATCAGTGCAGTTTCACCAATGCAGCTGCGCCGTTGTAGTGCTTAAGTAAAGATGCTCCTATGCTGAGATGGGAGAGCTTCTCCCATTGTCATAGTTAATCCACCTCCTTGAGAGATGGTAGCTATGTCAACAGCAGAACCTCTCCCATCAACATAGCACTGTCTATACACAGATTAGGTCAGTATAACTATGTCACTCAGCGTTGTGTTTTTTCATACCCCTGAGCGATGCAGTTATACCGGTATAGGTCCTGCAGTGTAGGCCTGCCCTAAGGTTAGGTCTACACGTGGGGGGGGGGGGGGGGTCACCTAAAACATGCAACTTCAGCTATGCGAATAGCGTAGCTGAAGTCAGCGTATCTTAGGTCGATTTACCTGGCCGTGAGGACGGCGGCGAGTCGACCGCTGCCGCTCCCCGGTCGACTCCGCTTCCACCTCTCGCCGCGGTGGAGTTCCGGAGTTGACGGCAGAGTGATCGGGGATCGATTTTATCGCATCTACACTAGACAGAATAAATCGATCCCCGATAGATCAATCACTACCTGCCGATCTGGCGGGTAGTGTAGACATACCCTAAGACTCTAGACACACATGTATGTAGACTGTTAAAATCTTTTCCCCACCTCTAGTGCTTTGGGCCTACTACTAAACAAAATAATACTTTTGTTTTAAGAAAACTGTCTGATCACTGTACACAACTGGTCACAGACTCCCAAGGGAAGAACCACAGTTGCCCAAACTCAGTCAGACCTGCAGGGTAAGTGTAGTTGACACACACACACACACACACACACACACACCTCTCAGTGCCTGGTGTAAAAGTGGGGGAATTGCAAACTTTTGCCCTGAAATTGGTAAAGGCACAAGGCCTAAGGCAAGTGAAGTTGGAGACACCAGGAAGGGGACAGAGGTGCAGCTAGCCCTGTAACTCTGTGACAGAAGACTTACCTCACTATTTGAGCTGGTATTCCACCCCAAGTGTTTCCCATTCCCCAAGTCTAGGCACTGTATTTAAGATCCCCCAACAGTTAGGAGCCTAGAGAGTCCTACTTTAGCTATCTTCTTAATGCACTAAAGCTTCAGTTTCAGCTCTTGTGATGGAAAGGCTTAAAATATTCTTTTAAAGAAATTTTACTTGAATTATAAATCATGTACATAGAACTACTTGACTGAAGAGGGAAATATACCAGCATTTTACGCTAGAGTAAGTATGCAGACTATGGCAATGGCAAAAAATACACAATTTCTATATTTTCCTAAGGAAAAAACTCATCTGAAGTATTCTGCTGAATGAACAGACTACCAGATTATGGTTAGCTTGATAACATACAATTGGGGGCTGTAGTTTTGGAACTACTTGTGCCAATTTTTCACACCTGCCTTCACAGAAAGCTTGATTCTTAACTGGCTCTTATGCTAATGGGCAAAAGACTGCTGGAAACAATGTTTTTAAATTACCTGCGTGAATGAGTCTACTGATGATACAGCAGCACTTGCTACAGGAGTCTGCTGGGCCAAATGTTCCAGCAATTCCACTGAGATCCCAATCTGGGCTACAGATGGTGTCTGAGGGATGTTCATTGCTCCAAAGGGGTGTTGGCTGCCTTTCCCTGAAAGAAATAGCATAAGCAGCAGAAATGTCAAACTTGGCATCAGCGCAACTATTATATTAAACTTAAGTCACCAAAAAGCAACAGAGGGTCCTGTGGCACCTTTGTGACTAACAGAAGTATAGGGAGCATAAGCTTTTGTGGGTAAGAACCTCTCTTCTTCAGATGCATCTGAAGAAGTGAGGTTCTTACCC